GTATATACGTGAGAGACATATAAGCTGTCAAAATGCATGATCTTTAAGCTAATAGCTACTCTCACCATCACGAAGTGAACAAAGCAGCACAGAAAAATGGCAACAATTGAATCTCTAACATAATTTTTTTAAAAGCGAATTATTGCATTTTATTATTAATCCACATCTTTCACATGATTCGTGCTCCTTTATTCCTTTATTTTATTTATATCTTAATCATTTCATTATTCGACTTTTGCATTTATATTTAATTAGAACAATATAAAACGCGCGCTTCGCGCGCGCCATTTATTTTTTAATATTATATTATTTTTACATAAAATATTTACATCACATATTATATATAATATATATTGCTACTAAAATCTCACATAATTACTAATATTAACTAACGTTATTCCGAATTTTCATTTCCAAAATTTAATTCATACTTATTCCTGTTCCTGATATTACCTCCGTGTATAAAGCCCAACAGAAAGATGTATATCTTATATATAATTTTGTTATAAACCTTTATGTTTGAGATAGCGACAATAGCGCGCGGCCTTGATACTTTGTTTACAATCGACGGATTTTGTATACGCGCGCGCAACGCGTTATCATTCAATCACCGACGCTCGTGGCGGGCGGGTGGTGTTACGTATCGCTCCGCATTTTCATATTTTCTTTTCGAAACAAAGTCGCGACGAATTCTAGGTGATGTTCAGAACATTTTACGATGCATGTTATAAACGTTGATAGCTCGCGCAGTTATGAGTTTGTTCGAATTTATACGTACATATCAAAAGACGACTTGTTTTATTTGAATATTCCAGGCGGGAACTGACTCGTATTCACTGATCAACTCTTATCTTTTGAAGTCTAGTAATAATTTATTTTTGTAAATGATATTGTAACGACGGGTGTTACTTTAATATGACGGAAGGGCTGCATATTCTGAAGGACTTTCTTTAATGATCTAATTCGAGTATTTTCAATATAAATTCTCCTGGAATGGTGCTTCTCTGCTTTGAAATTCTCATCGATTTACATAAATGCAATTTGCATTTTGTAATACGTATAGTTTATTGTATCAATCGTTTATTATAACAAATAAAATATATAAGATATCTATATATATATATATATATATATATATATATATATATATATATATATATATATATATATGTAT